CCCCCCCCCCTTTTCCAGGTGTAAGATTATGTTTTTGGCTCCTGTAAGAAAAGTGTAAGAAAAGGCTTCATAGGCCAAAGAGTGCACAGGCTACAAGGGATGGGGAAAGTATTTTCCAGGTATGGCAGCATTGAAGAGGCACAGCGGAATCCCGATAAAGTCAACTAGCTTACAGTCAACTCTTGCTTACAGTCAACACCTCACCGTGGTCCCGTTTCTTACCTTCTTTGTTTTAATAATTGTGTTTCTGATACAGTCAACCGCTTGAGTGTTACCCTGGCGTGAAGTTAATAATTTGGGGCTAGATCCCAAGATGCATTCATTTAAGAAGAGACATTTAGGGCCTGAGCTAGTGGTGTACACACCTCCAATTGCTTTGTTCACTCATTATCTCGTGTTTTGATGATAACTTCAGAATTATACTCGCTAAAATTGAGCAAACATCTTGTTACCAGGTACTTTGTAATTTTGTAGCTGTTATCATCAATTTCCAATTTCAACTTTTTTTCGGTCCCGAGGTGTTGACTTTATCAGAATTCCACTGTAATTTGTGTTATTTGTAATCAAGGTGCTTTTGACATTGACCTCTTTTTTCCCCTTATTAGTAAGAAAGAGTGTATACAATATTTTGCTTGAATGATTTACTTTTTTTTGTTGTACTTTAATTTATTTAATTGAATATAGAACTGCATATATGTGAGGCAGCGTGGTGGAATCAGGCAGTCGTCAAAATAATCAAAGTGAAGAGACTTGCATTTTTCCACAGGTTTGTGAATTTTCATCAATTTTTTTTTGTGTGGACACAGCACCTTTCATGCCCATTAAAGAACTCATATCTGTGTGGATTTTTTCTGAAAAACGTTGATTAAAGGCATATGAAAATTTTCAGTTACCACGAACTCTAAAGCTAAGAAAATAAGTAGTTTTGGCAGCCATTTTCTCACTAATTTTACCTCTGAAAACAGGTGACCCCCACATCCTTCATTCGCAAATATCTCGACTTGTATTCAAGATAAATGGATATTTTTTTATCCAAATAAAGACAATTGAACAAGCTTTACGATGATACCAATAACTCTACTTGCCCAAAAATTGACGAGAGCCTGATTCCACTACGCTGCCTCACATATATTATTAAGTGCAATACATGTGTGTATGCATGTTTTTCATAAATATTATGTAAAGTACATAGAACAATGATTGTAACACAGATTTGCACGATATAAATCATATGACATGTATTATTATAAGCAAACAATGTAATATTGTGGGATGGGGATTGGGAGGGTGGGGGGCAGCGTTGAGAGGCAAATGTAAAAACATTGTGAAAAAATTGGGGAGGGGTGAGGGGGCAAAAATTCCCCCCCAAAAAGGTGTTAGATTATATTATTTGAACAACCCCAAAGGCTGTGGGCAGGAAAAAGTGGATGGGGGGCTCAGTTAAAAAGGAAATGCTTGGCTCTAAATATTCTCGCTTTCTTTAGAATTTCGAATGGAATTGGGTACAATTTAAAGTCAGTGATTATAAAACATACCAAAATGTATTGACCTTTCAAACTGAAGTTCCAAAATCTCCGAGTGATGTACAATGTATTTCCCTGTCTTGTACATTTCCAACAATGAACAGAGCGAGCCAGAAGCTCTAGGCGAAAAATGTGTGACGTCACGGCTCGGCGCGATGTCACGGTGGAAGGGTTCAGCGAGGTCTTCGCGGATTTGGTTGGTAAACGGGAAAGACTTGCCTAACCAAGGTATCACTTCTAAGATAATCATTGGAACGTGTTCTGGTAGAACAAAGAATGGTTTATCAACAAGGGTAGTTAAAAAAATATGGCAAGTACATTCCAAATAATCAATGGTCATAAATTGTGTCAGATTATGTTTGAGCAGCCCCTTTTTATTTTGGATCATACGCATCAGGCTCCCTACGTCACGCTTATGGTGTAATTAAACGCTAATTAGAATTTATTTATTGATTCTACATAACAAACAAAATGATACCTCAGTAGTTACGATACAACTATTATTAACCTTATCCGTACTATTAACCTTATCCGTACGTCGTGTTTAGTATCTCATTCATACGACGTGGGGGAACCCTGTGCCACCACTTTCCAAAGAGGAAATTTACTCGTTAATCTTTGCACAGCAGTCTGTCAAAACGATTCAAAGAAATCTTCGTTTCAAAGAAATCTTCGTTCTAGAAGTATTGCAAAATGTGAAGAATGCAACCCCAGGGCTACAAAATGACCCCAGGGCGTACGGATAGGGTTACGGATTTTATGACGCTTTGAAACAAGATTTGGAAATTTGGTGCGCAACATGCAGTACAAAAATTGGGCAGAATCAGGGCAAAAACTGATTCACAAAAATGGCGCTGATTCTGGACTAACAAAGATAGCACAAACATTAAACAAGTCTCTGAAACAGAAAGCCACGCTCTATATCCTATACTCCTAATTTCAGTGCCCTTGGAGAAGTTTGAAAACTTCACTGAAGTGCCTAGTTAACCTATGTTTGAAAACTCTTGCTTGTCTTCCTTTCCACCCACGTTTTTCGGTTACGTTTTACGGCGCTCGCAACTGCATAAGGTCAGATGAGCGCGCGGGGCATATTAAAAATATTCAGTTGGTTGGAAATTTTGAATTTTGCCCGGGTAGCAGCCGAAGCCTACTCTTATCAAGTTTAGACCACCAAGGGATCTTTAACGTGGGACTTGCACATGAGCCCTCCGAGATTTTTCGCCCTTGTCCCAGAAGGCTAGGTGTAGATATTTTTCTACCATCAGATCAGGGGTGTGGCTGAAAGACAGCAGTAAGAAGAAGCCAAGGAGTAGCAGTAGAACGGCTGCAGAAAGAGTCGGGAGCCCAGGAGATAAGGGAGTTGAGGCAGAAAGAAGAGACGAAAGCAGATGACAGAACATTGCTAGAAAGCAGGAAAGGAAGTGAAAGGAGACAGTTTTAGAGAAGAAAAGTTTTCGGTCGCTACCAAGATTCGAACCCGGGACCTTTGAATGGGAGGCAAACACCCTAACCTCTAGGCCCCGAGAGCTCCCTAGAAAGAGTTAGTTTTTTAAAGTTTTTTTTTAGTTTAGTATGGGGTTTTACGGCGCTCGCAACTGCATAAGGTCAAATGAGCGCCGAAACACAAGTTAGTTTTTTTATACGTAGTTCACTGCACGGCTGTGTACGGGTTATTTGATCTTAAACGTTAAAATAGAAAAAAATTGGTGTAGATATATAATATTTTCTCCCACACGTCTTCAGCTACTTTGTCATCAACGTCACAGACAGAGATGTCCACAGACAGATGTCCACAGACAGATGTCGACAGACAGAGATGTCCACAGACAGAGATGTCCACAGACTCCAGCACAGAGAGATGTTGAATTTCCTGGGAGGGGCGGGGAGACTTTGGGGCAGTAGAGCGGAGTAAGAGTTATGGCACTTGCAATACAATAAGGTCATATAAGTGCCGAAGATTAGATTTTGTTTGTTTTTGTGTTTTACGGCGCTCGCAGATGCATAAGGTCACATGAGCGAACGAGACACATTAAACTTTTTCAGTTGGTAGGAAATTTTGAATTTTGCCCAGGTGGCGGCCGAAGCCTACTCTTATCGATGTTAGACCACCAAGGGATCTTTAACGTGCGCAACTTGTACACGGGCCCTCCGAGATTTTTTGCCCTTGTCCGAGAAGGCTAGGTGTAGATCTTTCCTACAAGAAGATCAGGGGTGTTGCTGAAAGACAGCAGTAAGAAGAAGCCAAGGAGTAGCAGTAGAAAGGCTGTAGAAAGAATCAGGAGCCCAGAGGAGGGGGGGGGGGACAAAGGAGATGAGGGAGTGGGGACAGAAAGAGGAGACGAAAGCAGACGACAGAACATTGCTAGAAAGCTGGAAAGGAAGTGAAAGGAGACAATTTAGAGAAGAACAGTTTTTTGGTTGCTACCCGGATTCGAATCCGGGACCTTTGAATGAGATGCCAATACCTTAACCTCTAGGCCAATAGAAACTTCGCAGCCCATTTCAAAGCGTTATACAGACATCAGAAACAGCTGGATATATCACCATCCTCCCACGGTATTGGAGCAGAAGAGTCATAGCTTTGTTTTAAAAAACCATAGCCTTCCATTAAATAATCTCTACCAGTGGAAATTAACGAATTCTCCCTTATGTGAGAGGTGTAACTCTCATGAAACTGAAGATGAATTTCACTTTATTTTCTTTTGTTCACACTTTGTCCTTCAAAGGAAATTGTTGATCCCTCCCAGCCTGACTCGGCCTAGTGACAGAAATAAGCAATGTTTGACCCATGATAAGAGATATGTGCACAACCTGTACTTATTCATTATGGAAACTTTTATCAAATGAGTGTTTTAATGTGATGTGATGAGGGCCCATGGCCTTAAACACTGAATAAACTTACAGAAATCAGAAAGGCGAATTCCCACACTTCATAGCGTGCATGTTGCTACACAAAAGTAGTTGCAGGTGAAGAAAACAGAATTTACAAAGAAAAGCAGTAAAGAAGACCAGGCGAGACAAAATTAGAAAAACAGTCATCAGAGAAATGGTGGGCGCAAATGATGTCATGCATCACATACAACACCAAAGAATCAATTGGTTCGGACATCTCATGCGATTACCAACACACCACCCAGCACAACGTGCCTACATAAAAGAAATCGATGACAACGTCTTGTTTGTTTTAGTAGAGGTTTGACGGCGCTCGCAACTGCATAAGGCCAAATGAGCGTCAGAAGAATCGAGGTGTTACAAGAGAGTAACAAACAAAAAAAACCAAAAAAAAAAAAGAAAGGGGTAAAAAAGGACGATATATGTTTGATAGAAAAGCAAACCACACCAGAGCACCCACCAATCACCCACAACCAACATCTCATCCGAAAGACAACGTGGAGTTCCCCCACAAAACCTCTCCTTGCACCACTACAGATTATAACTCACATCTCTCGCGTGTCTGACTGCGACACCGCACAAGTTTCTCTGCAGCTGCGATCTATGGGCCGACAAATGAAGAGAGCCAAGAGTACATAGAGTCCCATACATAGAACCTCTACACCCTTGCTCTAAACCTTGCTAGCTACGGCATTTCATGTAACTCCAGTAACAGTAATTCTAGTAACAGTTACAGCCACGGCGTTTCATGTAACTCTAGTAACAGTAACTCTAGTAACAACTACGGCGTTTCATGTAACTGTAGTAACAGTAAGTCTAGTAACAACTACGGCGTTTCATTTAACTCTAGTAACAGCCACGGCGTTTCATGTATATCTAGTAACAGCTACATCGTTTCATGTAACTAGTAACAGTAACTCTTGTAACAGTAACTGTAGTAACAGCTACGGCGTTTCATGTAACTCTAGTAGCAGCTCTACGGCGTTTCATGTAACTAGTAACAATAACTGTAGTTAGTAACAGTAACTGTAATAACAGCTTCACCGTTTCGTGTAACAAGTAACAATTACATCGTTTCACGTAACTCTAGTAACACACACCAAATAAATCGTTTCATGTAACTAGTAACACACACCAAATACATACACAAGAACACACACACACACACACACACACACACACACACACCATCATAATTACTTAAAAAAGTTTAAGACTGAACGAACAAACGAAGATACACACACCCATATACGCTTGAACACTGACTCGCCGGCGTGAGGAGCAGCAGGAGCAGGGGGAGGAGGGAGAGGGAGAGGAGGGACAGGAGGGAGATGCAGTCTCCTGTCTGCTTCAGCAAAGTATCTCCTTTGTGCTGGCACAAACGCTCCCCGTCCCTGCTGCTGCTGCCCGAGGAAGTCCATCATGTCCCTGGCTGCCCGAGGAAGTCCATCATGTCCCTGGCTGTCAGGTTGATGACAAAGAAGTTGAAGGGCTGTGGTATTATTATTATTATTATTATTATTATTATTATTATTATTATTATTATTATTATTATTATTATTATTATTATTATTATTATTATTATTAATAATAATAATAATAATAATAATAATAATAATAATTATTATTATTATTATTATTATTATTATTATTATTATGATTATTAGTATTATTATTATATTATTACTATTATTATTATTATTATCATCATTATCATTATCATTATCATTATTATTTAAATTATGTGTTTTTACATCCCCATCTAAATTATGTGTTTTTACATCCCCACCTAAATAATCTATAATATCATTTAGAAGCGGACTTCCTATCTGAATAAAAACGGGAAACAACAGGTTGCCAAGAGCCATGGGGAAGATTGGAACATTAATCTTGTGTCAGATGCGCTGCCGATCTGACCACCTGGAATTTACCAGACTTTGGACAGACCTGAAGGAACTAGTTTAAAAGCACTGATTCGAAGAAATTGTTCTCCGTCGTTGGTCCTAACAGAATTCTCCATTTTTTATCTTTAATGTAAAAATACGGATAATACTGTTATACAAAACGATAAAAATGTCTGTTGTTACTATTGGATTTTGACCACGAATTCTCAAGTTCAACCATACAGTAAACTACGTTGGAGTCCCTCACGTTCCTGTGACCTTAATGCAGTTGCAGTAGCAGTAAATCTCTTACCTCTAAAAGAAACAAGAAAACCAAAAAAAGAGGGAATGAAAACAATATAAAAAAAGAAAAAAAAAGAAAAAAAATCCAAACCATTTCCATCAAAACAAAAAACTTACCCCATTAGGTGGTGGAGCGTGTGGATGCCAGGCAGCTGGTGCCGCAATGAGCACGGGAAACATCCCTGGTATATTTCTTCCTGGCCAGACAGGGGGAGCGTAGTCGGCACCTGGAGGTGCGTGGTCTACTGCAATAGGAAGATGACGGACAGGCAGAGGAAGATGATTGACAGGCAGAGGAAAGGGAAGAAGAGGCAGATGACCTGCAACAGGTGCAGGATTGACAGGCAGAGGAAAGGGAAGAAGAGGCAGATCACCTGCAACAGGTGCAGGATCGATAGGAAGGTCACCTGCAACAGGTGCAGGATTGACCGGCAGAGGAAAGGGAAGAAGAGGCAGATGACCTGCGACAGGTGCAGGATTGACAGGCAGAGGAAAGGGAAGAAGAGGCAGATGACCTGCAACAGGTGCAGGATTGACAGGCAGAGGAAAGGGAAGAAGAGGCAGATCACCTGCAACAGGAGCAGGATTGACAGGCAGAGGAAAGGGAAGAAGAGGCAGATCACCTGCACCAGGTGCAGGATCGACAGGAAGGTCACCTGCACCAGGTGCAGGATCGACAGGAAGGTCACCTGCACCAGGTGCAGGATCGACAGGTAAAGGTAAGGCAGCAGGTACAGGAAGAACAGGAAGAGGTGCAGGGCCGACCACGACCTCCAGGGCCGCTACCTCGTTCCCAGGAGCAGGGAGCTCATCTTGTCGCCCTGAAAAAGAAAAACACACGGTGCGTGAGTGAAACTCTCTTCACAACCCTGCATCTTCTGGTGGCTTTTTGCTTCACCACGTTTTGCTGTAACTATTTTACGAGGTACTTTTTTTCGTAAGAGCTTTTAGTTGTAGTTTTAGTAAGTTTTACGGCACTTGCAACACAATAAGGTCATATAAGTGCCGAAGATTAGATGTTACAGGAGAGTAAAAAACATAAAAAGGAGGAGATCAGGACGATAGATGTTCGATAGGAAAAAAGAAGCAAACCACACCTACCAAAGTACCCGCCAACCACCCACTTCATAAGCGTTTTACGGCACTTGCTTCACAATAAAGTCATAAAAATTCCGACGATTAGAGGTTTTGATTGATTGAGTAGGCGTTTTACGGCACTCTCGACCCAATGAAGATTATTTTTAAAATTTTTTGAATAGTAGAGGGATTTACTGCGCTCGCAACTGCATTAGGTCATATGAGCGCCAAGGGTTCGGTGTCAACAGAGAAGTCTTTACATGGAATCAGACTTACTCTGCTCACCTCTCTAGCTTCAACAGCACAAGGTCTGCCTCAACTATCAAGGCACCCCGGAAGTAGCAGGTCTCAAAAGAGTGACAAACATACAAAAGAAGTAGAGGAAAATAACAATAGCAAGGATTAGGAAAGAAAAAGCAGCAGTTCCCTGTTGTAGATCAGGCACAGTTATGAGCGTGACAATTCTACTGTGCTTGAACTAGAAATATCCCCCCTTTAGGAATGGCCTAAAGACACTACAGTCAGTGGCACTGACATTCTCATTCTCACTCTCATTCTCACTCTCACTCTCACTCTCTCATTCTCACTCTCATTCTCACTCTCATTCTCACTCTCATTCTTACTCTCATTCTTACTCTCACTCTCATTCTCACTCTCTCGCTTTCTCACGCTTCCCTCCCTCTTTCTCTCACTTATGCGTGCGAGTGCGTGCATACACACACACACACACACACACACACACAAGCATATACACACACAAGCACATACACACACGATGCTAATCAATCAGAAATGTAGCAAACAATTTAAAATTTATATTTCGCTGATAAAGCCAAATGAGAATATGAAAGTCTTACTGTGCTGCCTGCAGTAAGGCTGTGATAGACGCCGTCTCCGTTTGCAAAGTCGACGGCGTCCGCTGACTAGTGTAAGTTCCTGGCATTGTCCAAGCTGAAAACAGATTTAAAGAACATTTTAGTTAGTTATAATAGAGGTTTTACGGCGCTCGCAACTGCATAAGGTCATATGAGCGCCAGAAGATTAGGGGTGTTACAAGAGAGTAACAAACATAAAAGAAGGGGAGACAAGGACGATAGATGTTTGATTGGAAAGAAGCAAACCACACCGGAGCACCCGCCAACCACCCACTAATAATATTTAAGAACAGATCCTAACTAATCAGCTTCTTTTACAAAAAAGGCGAAATGAGAATGACAGTTTTATGTTAGAAAATGGAAGGCTCGCACCTGCCTAAGGTCATATGAGCGCGCGAAACAAGGTTTTTTCTCAACGGTTCATTTCTCGGCTTGATACTGGTCAATATTTCTATTTAAAAAATTATAAACGCTAAAAATCTAGTGTAAATAGGCTTTAGATTTTAATTTAAATTTAAAACAACTTTCTAAATAACACTTAATTTCGAACAATCTATTTCAAAACTTTTATAAAATCTAAATTAAATCCCATTAGATTCGGAATATCAGGTATACAATGTTGGAAGTAAAAAGTGGAAATTGTATATACATGTAGACATCTGAATAAAAATGGGAAACAACAGGTTGCCAAGATCCATTGGGAAGATTGGAACATTAACTTTGTGTCAGATGCGATGCCCATCTGGTGACCTGGAATTTGCCAGACTTTGGGGAGACCTGAAGGAATTACTTTTTTACGCACTGATTTGAAGAATTTGTTCTCCTTCATTGATCCTAACAGAGGTCTCAATGTTTGGTTTTTACTCTAAAAATACGACCTTAACGCAGTTGTAGGCGCTGTTTACCTCTAAAACAAAAGAAAACCAAGAAAGAGGGGAAAACATTTTAAAAAGAACAAAAAAAAAAAAGAATAAATACAGAATCAAAAAAACTTTACAAATCCCACAACAACAACAAAAACTTACGTCGTTCGCTGCCAGTGGTTGATCAGCCTGCAACAGTAAGTCCACTTGCATAGGATCCGCTTGCAACACCGGCATTGTTGCATAGGATCCGCTTGCAACACCGGCATTGCAGGACCCGCCTGTCCCACAGGCATTGCAGGCAACACAGGGGGCTGGTCTCGGCCAGCTTCAGGCCGACCTGCAAAAGAAAAACATACGGTGCGTGAGTGAAACTCTCTTTACAACCCTGCATCTTCTGGTGGCTTTTTGTTTCACGACGTTTTGCTGTAGCTATTTTACACGGTACTTTGGTCACTTAACCCTACCCGTACGCCCTGGGGTCATTTTATACCCCCGAGGTTGTTTTCTTCACATTTTAGAATACTTTTAGTATGAAGATCTCTTTGAAACTTTGTTAGTTCAGTATGGGGTTTTACGACGCTCGTAACTGCATAAGTTCATATGAGCGCGCGAAACACAAGTTAGTTTTATTCGCAGTTCACTGTACGGCTGTAATTCGGTTTTGATATATATTTTCAATTTAAAACAACTTTCCTAAATAACATAAAAATTTAAATAATTCGATTTGCTCAACAGTTTCCCATAAAGGCCAATGGCCTTCATAAAATTCAAAATTTTGTTGGGATCAACGACGGAAAAAATGTCTTGCAATTTTTTACATTTAAAGTATTTCCTTCGGATCTCTCCGAAGTCTAGACATTAGGTTAAAATGTGTCTAATGCTTCTCATCTCCCTGAAGGAGGTATTCGTGAGTTAGGGGCGTGTGTCCCATTCGTAATCGAGTAAAAACGACTTCATCTCTTCTGGAGAGGTCCGAAGGATTTCGCGGTCCTAGTTTGGGTTTGTATTCACAACAGGTCAAAGGGCGGCTAGGTTTAAGTCAATGACTTAGATTAAACGGCTAAAAATTCAGGGTAAAAAATCCCAGTTTTTTTAAAAGAACATTCAAACAAAATTTAAAACAACGTTATTTACAGTGTGCCGTAAAGGCCAACGGTCTGTATAAAATCGAGAATTCTGTTGGGATCAACGACAGAGAACAGGTCTTGCAATTTTTTTTGCATTTAAAATCCTTCTTTCGTTTCTCTCCAAAGTCTGGACATTCTGTAAAGATGTGTCTAGTGGTGAAATCTGAGTCGCATCCGACCCAGAACGGTTTCTCTTCTCCCTGAAGGAGGTATTTATGTGTCAGGGACGTGTGTCCGATGTTTAATCGAGTAAAAATTACTTCGTCTCTTCTGGAGAGGACCCAAGGTTTTCGTGGACCCAGTGTGGGCATAATGTTGTGAAGTTTTGTTTATCTGTTTCTTCCATCGTGTCTCCTACAGACTGGAGATGCAGTTTTTTAAATTTATTTCTAAAGTCAGTCAGTGGGAGAGTGTTTGTCGTTGATCCCAACAGAAGGGTCAAGGATTCTTTCGCAAGGAGGTCCACTTGCTCCTTTCCTCGGATGCCCACATGGCCTGTGTGCATGTGCCTGTGTGCATGTGCCTGTGCGCGTGTGCGTATGCGTGCGTGTGTGTGTGCCCTGGCTTTTCAGTGTTTAAAGCCTGTGTTATTTGTACTTAATTAACAGTGTGTGTGTGCATGCGTGTGAGTGTGCATTTGTATGTGTGAATGCGTGTGTGTGTGTATGTGTATATGTGTGTATATGTGTGTGTGTGTGTGTGCATGTGTGTGCGTGTGTGTATATGTGTTTGCATGCATGTGCGTGTGTGTGTTTGTGTGTGTTTGTGTGTGTATGTGTGTGTATGTGTGTGTATGTGTGTGTGTATGTGTGTGTATGTGTGTGTATGTGTGTGTATGTGTGTGTGTATGTGTGTGTATGTGTGTGTATGTGTGTGTATGTGTGTGTGCATGTGTGTGTGTGCGTTTGTGTATGTGTGTGTGTATGTGTGTGTGTATGTGTGTGTGTATGTGTGTGTGTATGTGTGTGTGCGTGTGTGTGCGTGTGTGTGCGTGTGTGTGCGAGTGTGTGCGAGTGTGTGTATGCGTGTGTATGCGTGTGTATGCGTGTGTATGCGTGTGTATGCGTGTGTGTGCGTGTGTGTGCATGCGTGTGTATGTGTGTGTGCATGTGTGTGTGCGCGTATGTGTGCGTGTGCGTGTGCGTGTGCGTGTGCGT